AAATTAAATAAATAAATATTGAAATGTGCTCACACATATATATTTTGAATGTAAACTCCACCCTATAGTTGTTGAATCTAAATCTTGCAAAATTTTGAGGTATTTTGTTGAGTTTAGTTTCCCTCAAATTGTCATCTCAACTTGAGATAGTGTTTCGGCCTGGCACGCTCATTTTAGAACTGATTCTGATGATCTGAATCATTCAAATTTTTTGGACTCGTCAAGTATAATATTCATTTCAAAAAAATTAAGATGATTGAATATCAGTAACTATATATTTGAATCATATTTATTTTAAAAAATGAATGACAAATATAATTTTAAGAATAACAATTTGTTTTTTGTAAAATAAATTTGATTCAAATATATAGTTATCAATGTTTAATCATCATAATTTTCTACATAAATATGTTACTCAACGAGTTCTAAAAAATGAGCGGTTCGGATTATCGAAACGGGATATATTATGGGTTTTATAAACCCCTCAAGTTCTTTTATATTGGGATGTGAACATGAGAGAAGTCTATGGTTTGTTTGGTTTAGTTTTATGATTACGATTGAATATGGAGTTGTGTTTTGAGTTTTGAGATTTTTTTAATCATGATTTGAAAAGATAAAATTTGTTTTGTTAAAAGTTTTGAAAATAGTTTTGAGATGATTTGTAATTTAATTTTTTTGATTGATTGATATATAGAATATGAGAGAATGTGAAAGGAAAGGAAGGGAGATGAGAGACAAAAAGTAATTGATTGAATAATAATAAATAAATAAAGAATAGAAAAGTTTTGAAAATAATTTTAAATTATATTTTAAAAATATATTTAGTTAATATATTCATAGTTAATATATTCATTCAAAATAGTCCAAATGCAATCCTAATTTTTTTAAATATATTTTCAGGAGATACTACTATAAAATGAAAAGTGATGTCATCGCTTTGCTGGCAGTATGAAGCGTTACGTGGGCCTCAAGCACATTAAAAGTGAATATAAATTTTTTGAATAAAGCATCCCAAGACTTCTCACTTCTTATCTCTATAATTTTTTGAATGACTTCTCCCGAAAGGGATGACAATTTAGACCCAGTCTGACGAGGACCCAACCCTCTGACCTCGATTTAAACGATTTTTTCTCAAAAAATATTCCTAACGAGACGGAGATGGTATTCAAAAATTAATCCCCGATCAGTTTCGAGGCGGGGACGGGGATTAGTGTCCTAACCCCATACCTGGCCCAGCCCCATCCATGGCCCCGTCCTCGTTCATCCCCGAAGCAAAATTACTGTTTTACCCCTTCATATATATAAACCAAACACTTCTCTCTCTCTCTCTGAGTCTCACGCGTCTTACTTCTCTCCCTTATTCACGTCTCTCAGATCTCTCTACCTCACTCACTGTCTTAGATCTCTCTGAGTCTTACCACCAGTTCTCTCATCTCTCTCTCCCTCACGCACTTATCTCTCTTACATCTTTCTCATTTCTTATCAGCATCAACATCAACATCATCCAGATCCACCGATCTGAATAGATCGGTGAAGCCACGGATCTGAAGCCATTACCACCACCGATCCTTCCGTTGCCACCGCCACCGATCTAAAGCGACGACCATGACCAGGACCGTGAAGCCACCGATCGATGTCTTGATGCTGACAAGGAGCCACCGATCGTGAAGCCCCCCTTCTCTCCCTCTCTCTCTTTCTCTCTCTCTATATATATATATATATCTGTTGTTGATTGATGAATAATTTTTTTTTTTTCCAAATTGTTATCAATATTATATATGTTGTTTGTTGTTGTTGATGAACAATATTACATCTGTTGTTGTTGTGTGTGTGTGTGTGTCTGTTGAACAGATCTGTATACACACAGATTAAATTTTTTTTTTTTTTTTTTTTTCTTGTGTTTGTATGTATTGTCCGTCACTAGAGATAGATGAACATCATCAGGAATAGAAAATGTCGTCGGAATCCCGAGATACGACCTTCGGAAAGGAGGTCTTTCAGGTGCTTAGCCATTTTAGCAAAGATCCGAAGGTATACCATAGCTAAAATAAGCATGAAAAATAGGATTGCAAAGAAAGAAAGAAAACTTACGAGAGGTGAAGAAGACGAGGATAGACGGACGAAAGTTGCAGAGAAAAGCGTCAGAAGAACGATACCGGCTGGGAATCCAGGAGGCCCAAGTATTCGAGAAAAGCATGAATTCGAAAGGACTGAAGTTTCAAATCGTATTAAATGCAAAAGGTGCACGAATGAGGCGGGAAAGCATAATGATGACCAAAAAGACGTGCGCGCTCTGACACATTGGAATAGGCAGAGCCGCCTAACTTATGTCTTGGCTTTTTAGAATCAAAACCAAACACGCCAGTTAACTACTATCAATGGCGAGTTTGGGGGGCAATTGTGGAAGCTGAATAATTGGCAATGCCGGGAAGAGCATACTCTGCAGAACACACTATTCAGCGTTATCCGGCTCAGGAGGCCGAATACAATAGATAGGCCGGATAAGCGTAAATCCATGGAGCCGAATATGAGAGAGGGCAATGAGTAACGAGTAGGTCCTGGCCCCGACGCCCAAGAAACGAGTATAAATACAGGAACTACAGATAAAGAAGGTGTGAGAAAAAAGAAGGGTAAGAATCTCCTTGTTTAACTTAGAATACAAGTAACCTAGAGCTTGAGACTGACTTGTCCGTCGGAGTGTTTATTTCCTTTCAGGTGACTATCTGAGGACCCCTAGCGTCTCCCAGGATCCGAAGAGTATTTCCAAACTACTTCCACACACACACACACACACACACACACACACACACATATATATATATATATGTATGTATTCTCTCATTAGACTCAAAATATGTAATTTGTCACAACTTAACAGAAAGATTTTTATGAGAATATTCTTTTACCTTGTAAACAGGCCCAAATCCACCCTGTCCAAGCTTGTTACTATCAGAGAAGTTGTCTATAGCATACTTTATAGTACTAAAATCATATTGTAAGGATTCTACGCCACTGATTTCATCCGTAACTTCACAAAAAAAAAAAAATAAAAAAAAAATATGAAAAAAACGAATTTGCAAAATAACAACAAATTTGGATTTATAAACTTTCATTTTATTAAGGCTTGGTTTGGTTTGGTTATAAACTTTCATTTTATTCGCAGTAATGTTTTTGTCTATCTAGTAGTTCTTGTGAGCAGTACTTCGTTTTTCTTGAGAACTAATTTTATGTAATAAAGAATTTATCTACTGGTCTTTTTGTCGACCAAGCTCCATGGTCTTGGACTTGTCTAACCTACTGGTAGCTTTCTAGAGAGTGATATGAAATAATATATTTCAACCTTACCTTAGTAAATCCTATACTATTAGGCCCAAGTTATTAGACATAAGCACAACAATGTTTCTACCCACCTATTTAGGTTGTATTTAGATCATGAATTTGACTAGGGACTTGTATAGGGAAAAGAAAATGAAAGAAGGAAGTAATTAAAAATGTAAACTAATTTTTTGACATTTTTTTTTTCTTCTACAAATTTATGATCTAAACACAATATAGTAATTTGGCATTGCTAACACCACCATGTGTATTAGCTGAAAAATTTTAAATGGTACACATCCCCTTTAAAAAGGTGCGTATTATATTCGCATAGTTGTAAAGTTTTGTGATCTTAATTATGAATTGTGTGATACTTTATTATACGTCCTAATTATAAAGATTTGGGATCTTAGTTCTGAATGTTAGAGATGGCAATTAGGGTCCATGGCACCGGGGCTGACCTGACCTTGATCCTAACCCGAATCTGATTAAATTCTACTACCCGCTCCCTGATTTGTATCCGAACTGTGAATGGTATGAACCTCTGAAACCCAACCTGAACGGGGAACAGTTTCCCCACCCCGAATGGATGTGGTGCTTCGTCATGAGGTTTGGTAGTGGTCAAATTTGTAATGAACCACAACATAAATAAATAAAACCTCATCTTGAACTTACTCTCAATTTTCTCTGTTGGCTTCTTATGCTTTCGCTTATGGAGAAAGATGGTAAAGAAAACTACAAGAATAGTGATAGTGACAGAGGTGGCAACAATGGTGACAATCGTAGTGATATTATTGCCTGCAAAAATAACATAACATAAATATGCCTTAATCCAATGCGTGTGTTAAATAGTTAGCTAAATGGATAGTTTGCCGACTAATTTGTTAATTGTTATGAAACAATGGTAATTTGGATATCAAATAATCAGAAATAATCAAAGGGAAATGAAACAAGCACATATAAACAATTGATGCGGTTCAACTAACACGCCCACGAACAAGATAATAAGAATACTTCGCTATGTAGGAAACAAGTTTACAATAATTAATTGTCTCCCACACTCTCAAACCCCCTAGAATATACCCAAACTTTTGTATATCTAACTCTCTATAAACGAAACTCACTCTATATTTCTTCTATGAATTTTCTCTGTTTCTAAATTGTGTTGGATTTGAGACATCCAATCCCTATTTATAATTCAGCTACAAAAATCTAACTTGTAATTTTAAAGAATTGAGGATTTTATTTATAAAAGCCCACTGTGAATGGAAAATGACAATGTTTATTTTGGTTTACCCTTTGAATTTTACTTTAGAAAAACTAAAATTATAAAGTGGGGAATTTGTAATAATTTTGTTGAAATGAAAATTTAAAAAAAAAATAAAAAAAGAAAAAAAAAAGGATGTACAAGGATTTAGGGATATACTTAAAAGTTCAAACCAACTAATTGAAAAACATTTTTTAATAAGAGGTAAAAGTGTAATTTTCAATCAACCGAGGGACGATTAATCTAGCAAAATACTAAATATAATATTAAGTAGAATTATTATGATATAAACCGAATGTAAATTGGAGGTTAGAATAGTAAGGGTTGTGAAAGTTTGTAAGTCATGGAAAACTTAGGTGAACATCCAACTCTACCATCTTAAGATCACAACACTATTGGAGAAAGGGTGGACATCGTGATGAAGAGAGGAGGGTGGCAACCGGTGATTAAGAGAAGACCAGTGGGATATCAGCTAGCTAGATTCAGAGGATTAGGAATGTTCATCATTTTTGTGGATAACTTGCCAGAATCGATGGATCCAAGAGGTTTGTTCAAGTTATTTAGTAGCTATGGAGTGGTTAAAGATGTTTTCATTCTGAAGAAGAGAATGAAAGTTATAGGAACTAGATTTGGGTTTGTTCGGTATGATTGCCAGGTTACAGCAAGTATGGCAGTTCAAAAAGCTGAAGGGTTGTGGTGTGATGATAAAGAACTGAAGGTACAGATAGCGGAGTATAGGAATAAAGATCAAAATTTGAAGATACAGGAGTCAAGAAAGGAGAGTACTAATCTGATCAAACAGAGGACGTAATGGCAACCAACAGAGGGAATTAAAGGCCAATGTTCTTATGCGAATGCAGTCTGAGGTTTTAATAGAGATATCAAGAGGATATCTCTCAAAGCTGAAGAGACTGGCAATATTAATGGTTGGCTTTATGAGAGTTTAGTAGTCAAGCTAAAAGCATTTTTCTCCTTTGCTAATTGTAAAAATGAGTACAGTAACAGAGAGGTTAAAGATGTAAACGTCAGAAATGGGGGGTAGAGCTGCAGTGCTAACATTCAAGTCAGTCAAACATATGAAGGAATGGAAAGTAAAAATAGAGGAATGGATATATGAGTGGTGCATATCAATAGATGAGTGGAAAAAAGGGAAAATGATTGAAAGTGAAAGGTGTGTTTGGTTATAATGCTTTAAATTCCTTTTAATTTGTGGAACACAAAAAATTTCAATGACATTAGGAGAGTTTAGGCGAAGTAGTTCAGCATGATGAAGGTACCAATAACCCAATTTCATTTCAATGGGGGTAAAGTCAGGATAATAACCATAAGCAAAGAGTTTATTAACGTAGTGGTAACCCTTGAGTGCAAAGGGGCCCAATATCCAGTTAGAGTGTGTGAAGAGACAAGCTTCCCATTAGGGACAACCACAGAGCTAGAAAGTTATTAGCTTAATAAGGATAAGAATTCAAGCTTTGGCAGTGGGCAAAATATGCTCTCAGGCACCATTGAAGGTCGGAAGGAAGAAGCAAAGGAAACTGAAGATGGTAATGATGTGTCAATTAATAATGAAGTGGCAAGCAAGGTTAAGGACACAGTGGATGGTGGAACAGTTAAGCTGGACAAAAGAGGAAAGAGGGTGGCAGTATCATCATTGAGGCAATCTAATGGAGGCTTAGGAAACTCAACAGGTAGGGGCTTTGTCAGCGTTGGTATGATGAAGATTGTGGAAAGTCCAAGAAAAAAAGGTGGTTGGGAGTATGCAAAAGATTGATGTCAATATATACACACCAGGGTTTATGTAGAGTTTGAGTGGGCCACAGATGGGTAGGCCCAATATTAATTTAGAAGTGATGTTGCGGGGAGCCCAAGTTGAAGCTAACCACAGCAAGCCCAATGGGCATTCATTATCAAACGTGAATGACTATGTAGCTTAGACTCAGCTATTACAGAGGGGAAATAAGGGGAGAGATAGAGAAGCTGTGCTGAAAGGTAAGACTCTGCTATTACAGAGGGGAAAAGTGCTTCCAAAAAGCTTTATAGAGGTGCTATTTTTATAGCTATAGTGGTGATTATATCAAATTCACTATCAATGAATAATGAGTCAAGTAGAAGTAGTAGGAGGTTGATTGTGGAAGCTAAGGCAACAGTCCAGATGGGGAAATCATTGAGCATAAATTTTGAAGGAAAATAAGGTAAAGCTATAGAGAAAATCCTTCAGATGGAAAGCAAGGATTTGGAAAGGATTGAAGGCAGTGGAAGGGCTATTGAAGTCTAAGGAATAAACGCAGGGGTTCAAGTGCACTATATGGTTTCTTATAAAGATAATGAGATGGAATGTTAGAGGTCTAAGAAGACCAGAAAAGAGGAGGAAGATAAAAGGTGTGCTAAAAGAGAGAGGAGTGGACATAGTGTTATTGCAAGAAACAAAGAGGAGCATAATAGAAGAAGAGTTTATACAAGTGATGTAGCCATTTGACACGATGGAGTTCATGGGGGTTGATGTAGAAGGAAGTGTTGGAGGTTTGCTATGCATTTGGAATCCAGATAGCTTTAATCTTAAGGAGTGTTGCAGTTCAAGGCATTTTATTTTGTTATCAAGTACTACTGGAGTGGCCTTTGAATGTACTATACTTAATATTTATGCTCTGAATGATGTAGTTAATAGGAGGTAGTTATGGGATTCGTTGGGTAGATTGAAACACTTTATACTAACCCCTGGTGTATGGGTGGAGATTTTAATGAAATCAGGTACATCAATGAAAGAAAGGGATGTTCAAGAAGAGAGAGAGAGAGAGGCATGAAGGATTTTCGTGGGTTCATAGATCAGTTAAATTTAGTGGATTTGCCTATGATGGGAAGAAGCTTTACATGGTGTAATGCTTAAGATAGGAAGAGATGGAGCAGGATAGATAGGTTTCTACTGGAAAGTAGGTGGCTAGAGGAGTACTCATTTAAGCAATGGGAACTCCCAAGAAGTATTTCAGATCATTACCCAGTATTATTAAAGGAAGATGATAGAAATTGGGGTCCAAAACCCTTTAGGTTTATTAATGCGTGGTTACTTCACCCAAAGTTCAAAGTAGAAGTGAAGAAGTCATGAGATGGTATAGTTGAACCAGGATGGGCTGCCTTCAGGCTGAAGAGGAAGTTAGCTAATCTTAGGGACAATCTTAGAAGATGGAATTTAGAGGTTTTTGGCAATGTGGATATTCACTTAAAGGAGGCAGAGGAGGAACAACATGAGCTTGATTTGGTAGCTAAAGCAATGAATCTATCAGAAGCTGAACTGACTAGAAGGAGGGAAGTAAGAAGTCAAGTGTGGAATTTGAGTAGGAGCAAAGAGAGCTTATGGCATCATAAATCTAGAATGGTGTGGGCTAAATGTGGTGATAAGAATTCAAGATTTTTCCATTTGATGGCAAGCTTTGGGAAAGGAAAAATATGTTGGATTTAGTTGTGGAGGATGGGGAGAGGTTGGTGGATCCAGATAGAGTAAAGTAGTCAGTCCGTAATCATTTTGAAAGAGTATTTAATGAGGAGTGGTGCTCCAGGCCTAAACTCTCTGGCCCATTTTTATCCCTTAATTCTATATAGAAGGATAGTTTGGAAGCAGCAGTTACAGAGCAAGAGATTTGGGCAGCTATACAAGATTGTAATGGTAATAAGGCTCCGAGGCCAGATGGGTTTAATTTGGCCTGCATTCAAAAGTACTAGAAGATAATGAGGAGGGATTTTCTATAATTCATGAATGAGTTCCATGAAAATGGGAAGTTGGCCTTAGGGTTGAATTGTTCTTTTATCATTTTGATACCAAAGATAGAGAACTTAAGTGGTTTAGGGGATTACAGACCAATAAGCTTAGTTCATTCAGCTTATAAAGTTCTAGATAAAGTGTTGTCTAGAAGATTAAAGAAGGTAATGCCAGCAATTATTAGTGAAGTTCAGACTGCATTTTTGAAAGGGAGATTCATTCTAGATAAAGTATTAATTGCTAATGAAGTGGTGGATTGGTGGAAATTATCTAAAAGGAAAGGCATCATTCTAAAATTGGACTTTCAAAAGGCTTATGATTCAGTAAATTGGGAGTTTCTCTTTTCAATGATGAAGAATTTTGGTTTTGGAGAAAAGTGGGTGAGGTGGATCAAAACATGCACATCTTCAGCTAAGATATTTATTCTAGTTAATAGATCTATATATGTTGAATTTATACCTCAAAAAGGGCTTAGGCGGGGAGACCCGTTATCATCATTCTTGTTCAACATTGTTGCTGAAGGATTGAATATATTGATTGAAAGGGCAAAAGAGTTAGGTTTTTTAAAAGATGCCATTGTTGGGCCCAATGAGTTGAAGGTTTCATACTTGCAATTTGCAGATGATACTATACTAACAGGGTGGAATTGGTCAATATAAATAGAATTTTAAGGTGTTTTGAGTTAATGTTTGGTTTAAAAATTAATTTCCACAAGAGTGTCGTGTGTGGGGTTGGGGTTAATGAGAAGGAAATTAATGATTTTATCTCAATTCTACACTGCCATAGCCAAAAACTTTCCATTACTTATCTGGGCATTCCTCTTGGGGCAAATCCTAGAAGAAAGAGCACTTGGAATCCAATGATCAAGAAAGTAAAGAACAAATTGGCTTCATGGAAAAGGAAGATGTTATCCTTTGCTAGTAGATTAACATTAGTGAAGGCAGTTTTGTCAAGTTTACCTTCATATTTTCTATCAATTTTTAAACTACCTGTGGGTGTGGCAAAACAGTTAGACAAGATTCAAGCAGCATTTCTGTGGGGTGATTCTGAAACAAAGAAGAAACTTCACATGGTAAATTGGAAGGAGGTATCAGCAAACATTGATCAAGGGGGATTGGGGGCTAGAAATGTAAGAGAAGTTAATGTCTGCCTTCTGCTAAAATGGTGGTGGAGGTTTGGGAAAGAGGATACAGCTCTGTGGAAAAATATTGTGTGTAGTAAGTATGGTGTGGTTGGGGGCAGATGGGTTCCAAGTAATCTAGATAATGTTGCAATGTCCAGGATTTGGGGTGATATCCTTCAACTTGTTACCCATAGCCCTGCTATAGTTGATGTTTATTTATCTAATCTGAAATTAACAATAGGGAATGGGGGTAGAATTCAATTTTGGGATGACAAGTGGCTGAACAATATATGCCTGAAGGAGGAATTTCCTAGACTATATAGCTTATCAAAGGAGAAATGTAGCACTATGCAGCAGATTTATCAAAGGAGGGGTCAATCAAATGATTAGAATTTATGTTTCAAAAGATCATTGTTAGCATGGAAGGAAGAGGAGGTCCTACGGTTGTATGACTTGCTAAGGGAAGCACCTAATCTTTCTATGGAGGCTGAGGATTCGTGTAAATGGGTGGACAATCCAGTAGGATCATTTACAGTAGTAGCAGCATGGAAGTGGTGGATGTCTTCAAAAAGTCCTTCTGTTAGTGTTACTAAGGAATTATGGAACAATGTTGCTCCACCCAAGGTAAAGTTTTGTGGGTGGTTAGCATGGAGAGGTAAACTTAAAACTGTAGCTGTCTTAAAGAGTTTTGGAGTGTTAAATGAGGAATCAAATGCACTGTGCTTGTTCTGTAAAATAGAGGAAGAGTCAGTTTAGCATCTTATGTTGTTGTGCCCATTAGCTTGGAAATTATGGATTGATATGATGAAGTGGTGGGATCTAGTGTGGGTTTTTCCTGGTTCAGTTGAGAATTTGTTGCTTTGGTGGTCAGGAATCAAATTCAGTAAGGTGGTTCTTAGAATGTGGAAAGTGGTTCCTTTAGCAGTTATGTGGTCATTATGGAAAGCAACGAATGAATGTTTCTTTAGTGGCAAACCAGTGGATTGGAATGAACTTTCAGAATTGGTAAAAGTAAGGGTTGAACTTTGGAGAAAATCGAATATTAAGGGGATGCGGTATTCAGTGCAGGAGATAGTCACGAATCTTCAACAGATCAAGGCCTGTGTGTGTAGAAGAAGGTTGCCTCCAGATTGATGTTAGGAGGATATGTTAGTTCATGTTAGGGGGTTGTGGTTGATATTGCTGATATGGGACTGTTTTTGTTGATCTGGCGTGGGGTGGAGAGCTGGACAGTTTTTAATGTCTGATCACTTTATCAAGGCCACTAGCAAGGTCTGATCTGGATGTACTGGTAAAGGGCTGCTACTATGTGTAGCCGAGTAGGAAATAAGGAAACTGCTGCTGACAATGCGGTATTGGTATTAGGGGTGTTCTTCTTGCTTTGGGTTGGTGTATTAATGCTGTTGTAGTGTGGCATTGCTGCTATTTTTTTGTTTTGTTTTTCATATTTGGGTTGTTCCTGATTGGCATCTCACCAATCTTGGGTCTAGTGCTAGTATATGATTGTGCTGCCTTTGCAGTGCCAACCTAGTTGGGATTGTTGAGGTGTGCTATGATGCTCTGTGCACTTCCCTGCTTTGTGGATGTATTTTGCATGAGAGTTTGTGAGTCATGTTGTCAATATCCTAAAATTGTTTTTCTTCCCCTTATGAAGGTGTTAAAGAACTGAAGTAATTTCAAAATAAAATTCAATTTGCAGATAGCGTTTCTCGTTTAGTGTTCATGAGCACTATAAAAAAAAAATTTGATTGACAAAAATTAATAATTAGTTGTTAGATTAACACCTCAGGGGAGTTGAACCACCAATATCTCCTTACAAGCACTTATGTCTTGCCCCTATGCCACTAAGCTACAAGGCTCTGGGTATGGTCAATAAATACTTGAACCAAGGCACGAA